TTTACATTTATCTAATATGCAAGCACGTTACAGTTATGTATTGGGTTCATGGTTATGTATCTGTCTCTCTGTGCTTGTGTCTACAGTGGTCCCAGCTGGATCACATTAATAATAAGGGCCTGTGTTGCAACCGTGAGGGCTTATGAGGCACTGTATTCGTAGGCCTAACTGTAGATGCCTATGAACAGCTGAGGGGGGTGAAGGTCAAGGTCCGGGCCAGTTCCTTTGCAATTCAAATAAATTCCAGAGGCCAATTAAAGTCAGTAGGCAACTGTATACAATTTTTAGCTTCTTTCGCCAAATCTCCCACTCTGATAATGCTTTTTAATGCACCCTGAGCCTTCAAAATATATATTTTTAATTTTGTATGCCAAAGTTTAATGCAGGCAAAAACAGCTTTAGGCCAGACCACATATACATAATATATTTGCGCTTCAGGCAAATATCAGCTACAGTACAGAATTACTTAAGAATGAACCGCAGATTGCCGTGTCTAACATTAGCTACATAGGCTGAATGAAGTGAATGGTAATGAGTGGGAAGAGGGGACTGTGAATAGGGCCCAGCCAGCCTGCTGCACAGCAGGTCTCTCTCAGACACCAGAGAACAACAAAAGCCCCAAATCTGCTCCCCTGATCTCTAATTTACTGGTCATCAGGGAATACAGGCATGAAAACAGGATTTATTGGCCATGCCTCATCAAAAAGGAATTAACAAGAGGAGAGGAGAGGCCTTTTTTGTACTTTTCTCACCATCAACTTTTTGGTCACAAACACAGAAAATGGGTTTCTGGGTGCAAGTTCCAAATGATTTTAGCAGCGATGCCATAAGAATGATTCTGGGTTACCCAAAGAACCTTTCAGTGGATAGTTCTTAAACAAACCTTTTGTGTGTGTGTGTGTGTGTGAAGAACATTTTAATAATCTGAATAACCCTTTTCCACTTTTCCAAGGTTTCTGGATGTTAAAAGTTTCATGGAACCATTGATGCCAATAAAGAACCTTTATTTTTAAGAGTGTAGATGCAGACTAATTCATCTCCTTTTCACTTTGAGGCCCATTAGCACATTACTACGATATATGTCCCTTTTCCCCACGGGACAGCCATACATCAGCCCTGCATAAGCAGAGAAAACTCCAGCGATGATGAACTGCTGTGCAGGCCGACAAGAGATGCTCTCAGCACAAGGGACTTGCTGCAGTTGGCCTATTTCTTAATGAATATGAGCCTTTCACGGGGCTCCCGTTACATAGCAAGCAAGCAAAGACAGCCTCCGCTGATTGAAGGAGGATGAGGGTGAATGTTCCAACCTACAGCTCTCAAAACTAGATGCACGAGAGGGAAGAAATAGAGCAACATCAGGCAACGCCACAAGAACAAAAGCTTAAATCCTCACAGATGACTCTGTCATTGTTCCAGCGCATTGCCAAAACCTGTAGCTATGACTGCTCACAATAAAAAAGAATGAGAAATCCTTGATCTCGTGGGACTATGGGAACATGCACGCAGTTCATTATCATAGTCATTTAAATACAGTAATCCTATTTTCTGCATCAGTCAAAAGGGGCATATCAAATAACCCTAGAGAACATTAGAAAGAAAGGAGGGGTGAGAGCAAGCAAAGGTCTAACGGAGGCCTCTTATCCCAGCAGGGATGGACAGGATGATTGGATGAGTGTGAAAAGAGAGAAAGGCCACGGGAGCGAGGGGAAAGGAGAAACATTGAGGATTGTGCAGGTTCATTTCATTCTCCCTTCTGCTTCAGTGGAAGACTTGATGAAGTTGAAATGAAGCAGAATTAGATGAAAGATACGCTGGAAGTACTTAGTTAAAGATTCGAGACTGTCGCTGAGTCTAACAAAGAGGAGAAAGCAGAGAAAAACACTATCTTGCATATTAACACCATTCCTCAAATCTCAGTACAGCACACTCTTAAAAATAAAGGTTCTATGTTGGCATCTATGGTTCTTGGAAGAACTTTTAACATCCATGGAACATTTCTCTTGCACTAAAGGTTCTTTGCAGTGGAAAAAAGGTTCAATGAAATTAATTCATCGAAAGTTCTTTTATGGCATCGCTAAGAAACCCCTTTTATGAAACTTTCATGGTTTATTTTTAGCTTATTAGTATTAGTGCAACGACACCCGAAATGTGCAGTCCTGCTGTGGTATTCCAGGAACATTGCGTTGAAACGCTGAACTAAATCACAAGCTCCTGTCATCGTTAGATTTATTCTGAGACTAACTCTGCCACTTAGTGGTCATTTTAGTTATGGCGTTGTTATTTTCTTGTGTTTGCAAACAATAAGACGAATGTTGCCGCCATTAATTTATGGAACACATAAAGACTTATTATTTGTTTGGGAGACTATTAATTATCTATTAATATATATATATACATATATGGTGCTATGCAGAGAAATAAGTTTACAGAGTTAGTTCACTGTAGTCAAATCCATCAACATCAGTCCTGACCTTAATTAATAGAGGACGATGCAGCATGGACTCTCTCACCACACCAATACGAGGACTTTCCATCTCCGATTCGTTGAATCCCTGGTAAAAATAGAAATATTATAGACAATTTCACTAAATTATAATTTGTCGGAAAAAAATAATAAATGAAAATTACTACAGTACAAATAGATAAAGTAACAGTACAAATTATATTATCGCAAACAACGTCGCAAAGTTATCAGCTATGACATATTTTGGCAAATGTTAGGGTTATTTGAAAGAAGAAGATCTCCAACCTCTTGGGCAAGATGACAACCTTGAAAAACACGGTTCCTGGATGGTTTTGTGGATAAACAAACCTTGCTGAACCTTTTTGTCGTAATTGTAGTTCAAAAGCACTAAAATACACCAGTGTGTTACATACAGTTTCAGCGATTTCACAGGCCGTGAGGGAAACCTTCCTTTTAGTTGTCTTGCGTTGTCATGGAGATGGGACGCTTCTGGCAAGCACGAGTAGCCTATGGCAGTGTTGTCATTGACGATAGTTGTTAATTTTTTATTTTTTTTTAAATCATTAATTATTTGTTTTTATAGTGATATATACTTGTTTTGAAAGTCAAAAACTCCATATAACCAAAAATTCCAAGCTCATACTTAGCTATCGTACTTAGTTATCGCCTCCAGTACGATAGAGGGCAGCATGCAAAGACTGAGAGCACTCCAACATGTGAGAATAACTGGGCTGTATCCAAAATCGCACTATTTGAAGGGACAGTAATTTGTAGTGGTTTCCGAAACCATAGTGGGCGTAATCGAGTGCACTCATTCAATCCCACAATGCACAATATAACGAGTGTACAACCGATGTACGCTCAACAATAGATATGTATATAAGTAGATGCCAGTCCAAATGCTTCAAACACGTCAGTGCGCCCGCCATCTTGGAACAGTCAGCATGTTGTCACTCACAGTAAGAATCAATGATGCTACAGGATTGCGCAGCTTCTGATTGTGAATCTGGTGAAATTTAAATTCCCGAAGGAAGACATGTGATAAACTTTAACTTTAAGAAAGTGTTGGTTTGTGTTTTTATATGTATTACCTCAATATCACAGGTTTAATACTATGGTAACGTTTTAATGTGTTAGCTGACGCCATCGATTAGCAAAATCATCTGCTGAGGTCTATTGCAGATATAGATATTCATACATGCCTCTTAACTACGGTTGCAGACGACCGATATTTGACCCTGGTAGACGGCTTAGACAGCCACTAATGAGGATTCTACTGTTACTGTATATCAATGTCGCACGCCGAATGAATTAGGCCTACCGTGTTTGACCAGAAGATGGCGCCCGCAGCTGTATCATATCCATCCATTTTCCAACAGCTTAATATAGCCTACAGGTATAAATTCCTTTTTAATTGATAATTTAAGGTTTATACATGGTTTCCATGACCGAGTTCAATATAAATCTTTATATCTTATGGAGCTGCCTGTTTGCTAAGTTTCAAATGATTATTAAAAAACAGCAAGCATTTAAACTAACTCATGAATGAATGAAAACGAGTGAATTCACTCACTCGTTTTCATTCATTCACTCCTTGAAGTGAACTATATTATAGTGAGCGATTTCGAACACAAATATGAATCTATTCATTTGAATTGTTATTAGCAGATTATATTTATTTATAAAGCATTTGATCATAAAGTTAACAAATTAAGAAAAACATCTGCAATTAAAGTGAACAAAAAAAGAGTAAAAAATTAGAATTGTGCATTATAGCATGTTATAAGCAAGCCACACCTAGATTTGAAGGATTAATTCACTTCACTCCATAATTAAAATTGCCTGACAATATACTCACCCCCGTGTCTTTCTTTCTTCAGTCTAAAAGAAATTAAGGTTTTAGGACCTTCAACCCATTGGTCTCCGTTGAGGTCCCCAATATGGAGAAAGATCCTGGAATATGTTTTCCTCAAAAGCCTTAATTTCTTTTCGACTGAAGAAAGAAAGACATGAACATCTTGGAGGACATGGGGGGGTGAGTAAATTATCAGGAAATTTGAATTCTGGAGTGAACTAATCCTTTAAGCAAACAAAACTCAAAGCATCTCCTGATATGGTCAGAGAGTTGGTGACTGACTGCCCTAAAAGACTTGCTACGGGAGCTCTTAATTTCTTGTTTACAGCGACATCTGCTGGTAGACATTTTAACATTGGCAAGCGCGCAATTTCTTAGATCTGCTGCGTCATCATTTGCGCGCTCTCATCTACGACTGACTAAATTCCCACGGACCAAATATAGCATACGAGTATTGTGGGGTTCTTTTAGGAGTTAGTACCACATCCTTAATGTGTGAAAATGTGTTTACAATTATAGCCAAGCCATAGCCTGCATGTCAGTTTAAAGCGATGTAAGAGGGTTCCCAATTATTTTAACACAGGGGAAAATTTCGAACAAGACAATCACAGCTTTAGTCAGAGTCAAGGTTAATCGCCCAAAGGAGAGTTTTCGGTTGACAGTCATTCGTGCATGCAGGAGGGACCCAGTGACTGCGGCGGAGCTGCGGCTTCCTCAGCAGCATCAGCATCTCCATCGACTCTCATCTTTTAGGAGACTAGTGCCTTGACTTGCAAGACGAGAAAACGGCCCGAATATATCGGCTTGGAGGTAACATTGTCCTTTAGCTATATTACAGTCTGCATTTGCCTGTGTTTTCAGATGCCCTGTCGATTATTTCAGTAAGAAAAAAAAAATCTGACCTAAACTGTCCTTGAACAGTTATGGGTTGGGTCGGTATGCGGTAAAACTGTGGGCCACATAATGACCTTTAAATCTCTCTCGGGTTCTTTATTTAATGTCTGTCTCGTAAGTAAGATAGCTAGGCCTATATCTCCAACATGTTTAACATTTTTTTCCTACAGTTTTTCAGAGACGGAAATTGAATTTGGTCCCTGCATAGAAGAGGCAATGACGTCGTATCCATCACTAGCAGCTTGTTTTATTTTATGTAAGTAACATGTTCTTTAAAGTTTTCATTTTATCGAGATAATTAAGACAATAAAGACAGGTGGAAGGACACTTATTCTTCCTAAGACTTCACAAGTCTTCCAAAAAGAACAGAACGTTTATTTACTTCATGTTGTGAGATGGTTTGAGCTTCTCAAAAAAATAATTTGGCACACTGCATGGCAATTTATATTTAAATAAATTACATTTATATAGATTATTACTTGTGATGTTAATCCTTTAAAGTCGGCATGAAAAGAAAAGTCCATCTATTTTCTAAATGCATGTTATTGATCTTGTGAATGATGCATGTCCTTTTAATTTTTTTACCTCGTAATTTAAATTTATAATAACTTCTCTCTGGTAACTTCTGGACTTGTCCAATCATTTAGCCAGGTTAAACTCTGCCCCTTTCTTAGAAATGCCAGCAAGCTTACATTCAGATCTGCCTTCCCGTCCTCATCTTACATTTTCTAAAATCTGTTTCAAGATGTAGGCTACCTGAAAATACAAGAAAAAAAAAATCTGTTGCTACTTCTGTTTCATTGCGACTAATAATTTTTAAAACTACATTTAAAAGTATTCATACTCAATATTGCCATCATAATTTTATTTTCCCAGGCATGAACACAAATAACTTTAGGACCCATTTCTTTTTTAGAAGAAAAATAAACATGCAGTAGGAAATCAAGATAGGCTACCTGAGCCAAACATCCCAAGGTCAGAGAGTGCAGTACAATACTGAGCAAATGAACCAGGTCCAATTTCACTTCCTGGCATATGCTTCTCCAAAAATATTTTGCACGTAAAAGACAGTAGTCGGTGCGTGGTTCTGAATTGTGCTCAAAACACTTTTTATGTCTCACTATAGTAAAATGCATTTACAATAGGCTGCATATATATCAGGGTTATGTTTAGTGTCTCTGTCTGTAACAAAGGAGGGAATCAATGAAGCCAGGCAGAGATGAGGATCCAAGTGCAGGGGAGTTTAATGAAACAAACAAACAAACAATAATGAACATAAAGCTAGCTGGAACAAAATAAAACTGGGAGACAAAGACCACGAGGAACAGAAAACATCTAACAACTGACAGGGAACAAGTGAAACACAATTAAGGGCAAACAAGCTTAACAAGTCAAAAGACACACCTGGGGAAGACTGAAGCCCACGATATACTTCAAGCAAAATCGAAGAACAAATTGATATGACATAATTTCGCACAAAATCAGGCCAAAACGAACTTCGTTTGGAGTTCGTTTAAGAGTTCTAAAACAGCGTGCCAAAGCGAACTTCCCGAAAAGTTTGCTCCGGCTGGTAAACACCTCTGCCTTCTTTAACGTGGAAATCTTCTCCAGTTCATTTCTCTTCACGAGTCCGTTGAGTTCAGAAGTGACCCGCGAATGAAAACATGAACACACTAGAGAGCTGCTCTATAGATTTTTTTTTCTATAGAGAAAGTTGTACTTCTGAAACGAGACACTGAAACTGTTTTTCATGTTTTAAGTAAAGCAAAGCTGCTAGATTTTAAGCAATCTATAAAGTGCTATTTAAACGTTGCTTGAATTGAATTGAACGTTGCTGAATTGCAGAGCTCGTGCAAACATATCCACATTGCTATGACCAGATGCTTTTCTTAAGCTTTATTAAAAAAATGATTGCTATTCTCTTAATTTTGTTTTGTGTTAATTTTGTTATTGAGAAGAAAAGCGTGCAGCACATATTTACATTCAAATAAACGCCGCTCTCAGCTGTGTGGGCAGCTTCAGATGTTTGATAACAGTATATCGCTGCTCACGTATTTCGAAAAAGAACTTCGCTGTGAGTAGCCTATATTGGGGCCTTAATCAACAGGGAAAACTACAAAACTACAAACATGGCCACAGGAAAGAACACAAAACACTTCAACATAAAAGTCCATACAAAACAGGCACACCGGGATCGTGACACTGTCGTAGTTCATTGTTTGAGTTGTTATCCTGTGAGTTGGTTTGCACTGTTTATAGATCATTTTCCTTTGTCTGTGTTCATTAGTTACCATGGTTTTAGATTTCCCTCACGTGTCACACCTGTTTAAATAGTTATCTAATTTTTTGTCTAGTGTTTTCCATGTAGCCCTCAGTTTGTTCAGTTTTTGCCTTTTGTGGTCTATACTGCCAAGTGTTTTCCTCTAATCTTCTTAGTTGTGGATTATATTCTTTGTTTTTATTTAAAAATAAAAGTGCTGGAATTAGATCCCCCTTCTTGTTTTTGCCTGACCTGCTGTGACTTATAGACATATCTGAAATATATGAAAATTATTCTATTAACCTCTTAAGTGCCGCGCCCCCTTTTTTGAATAAATAAACATGAAAATGCACAATCCGAACTTAAATGGTTGTAATTCAAGAATGCTTTGGAATATAGATGTAAGATTGGTCTTGTTTTAAAGAAGACATTTGGCAGATTTTTTAAAAGTTAAATAAATTAAGAAAGTGAAACAGAAAAGTTATAGAAGTTTGAGTTTATGAAAATGTAAAAATTTAATTATTCAATTCATATTTTATATAAAATAGATTTTTTCGAAACCTGGTGGGCTCTAAAACTGCAAGAAAATCAAAGTCAAAACTCTGAACAAGTTGTGTTTAAAATTTTAGGTTGAGATCTCAAAAAATGAGCTTTCAGTAAGATTTTGTTTGGGCGCAGTACCAAACTTTTTCACTAGGTCACAATCAGACTCCATTACTGCCCATATAAGGGCGCCTCCATTTCCATATGTGTTTTGAGTGATCTGAACCATTATTTCCACAATTTTCATACAATTTATGAAGGCATCCTATTCAGAAATAGTAAGGGAAGTTTGGCATATTTTGATATGAATTCAACCTCAATAAACACATAAAAATAACACGCATGTGCGTTATAGCTCGCTGCCACATCACAAATGGTGAATCTATGATTTTTTTTTCTTTATATTTAAAACATTTTCAGACCTTTTTTTCTAAAAATAAATGTATGGATGTTATCTTTTGAACTAGTGGCATGAAAACAAACTGAGGTTTCTACCATTCTTTCATGATTTTCATGTTCATCACTATTTCAAAATAAAGGTCTTAACACGCCTTAGGAGTATGAAAATATTCTTGTTGCAAATTGATAGATTACGGCTCTTCTGTAATTTATTTTGAAACTACAGATTGTAAGCTTTCAAATGATATATATTTTGTCAATATTAGTTTAGGTTTAGGATATTACTGTTTTAAATATGTAATGGCTATGGCACCCGGTGCAACTTATTTTTGAAAAGGTCAACTGCTCCATGAACATTAGCAAAAGCCAAAATGACATTTTCTTATTTTAAAGCGTTTGTGCTTTTCTCCCTGTAGCATGTCTATTATGTATGATGGGTGTGGTCACTGCAACAGACCCATATCAGAAACCTGGCTTCTTGGATTTTGACTCCTGGTTTTGGAACACCCCTCGAGGGCCACAGATGTACTCCTGCCTTACCTACATAGAGAGGAACCTCCGAGTTGACTGTGAATTCCCAGAGACCCACAAGATCCCGGGGCCATTCTGCGAATTCAAACAGGATGGGCGACTCATGGGATCCACCTACCCAAACAACCCGGTCCACCTGATCCCACATATTGAGACCCGACGCCGAGCCAATGTCTCCCTGGTGCCACCTAACATTTGTCGCCTCACATGGATGCCTATGTCCGATGACCGTGCGTACACCTACACCTGCAGGGTTTATCAGGGCAACACCTGGAAGGAGAACAGCATGGCATTCCATCAAAGTGAGTTAAACATGTCTCAGCAAGACCCCCCTTGACATTCTGAAAGACAACATAACCTGGGAGTTATGCAAAGCCTGTTGAAGTTTAAATTAAAGGTGTTGTCCCTGCTTGTGAGATTTTGTTCTTTCAAAATCTGGGGGCTTTCACAATCTATGCTTTCATAATTTGTGTGTTCTTAAGTCATTGCTCTGTTGCTTAATTATCTGTCTCTCTGTTTCAAACAGGAAATCTTCTGGTGTGCTCTGCATTAAGCACATTTTTTCACACTGGACCATGGATTCTTGCAGTTGTCATATCACTTCCTGTTTCTCTTGGGTTTCTGTCAGCATGACCAGCCCTACATGAGCAACCTAAACCTCAAAGCCATTCTCACATTTAACTGCCTTTCACAATTTTTTTTTTTGCCCATTTAAAGTTTCTGTGGAGATCACCGTCATTAGAATCCTGAATCATCAGGATTCACTGAGAAAAGCAAACGGACATGATCCACGTGACCCATTCTAGTATATATGGCCAAAATTTTGTTCAAAATTAAGATGTTACTACACTACCGTTCAAAAGTTTAGGGTCAGTAAGAAATTAAATTAAAATTTGTATTCGGCAACAATTGATCATTAAACGGGATTAAAAGTGAGAGTAAAGACATTTATGTTATAATGTAAAAAGATTTCGATTTCAAATAAATGCTGTTCTTTTGAACTTTCTATTAATCTAAGACAATCTAAGATTTTTTATCTCAGTTTCCACTAAAGTATGAAGCAACACAACTGTTCTCAACAATGATAATTATGATTCCTGAAGGACTGGAGGTAATGGCTGTTGGAAATTCAGCTTTGCCATCACAAGAATTAATTACATTTTAAAATATATTAAAACAGAAAACAGTTGTTTTAAATTATAATAATATTTTACAGTACTACTGTTTTACTGCATTTTTTTAATCAAATACATGCAGAGACAAGAAACTTATTTTAAAAAAAAACATTTTAAAAATCCTAACGACTCAAAACATTTGAACAGTAGTGTACACAGTTTTAAAATACTTCAATCTGAACATTTACAAACAAGACATTTGCAACAGCAATTATTGCAACTGTTTAATGAAATTATCGTTTCCTAAGATTAGTATTATTGATTGTAGCATGTTTGTCAATGGCATTGAATTCAGATGAAGAACAGCATCAAAAAGTATGCTGAAGCCTGAGTTTATCAGGCATCCAAAATATGTATCACCTAAAGGATTCTCTGTTATAAGAAATATATATTATTGTTTTGATACATGGCTAGGACCTTTATACAGTATCCAATTATGTGCTTCCTTTAAGTCAAGTCATGTAATAGCTCAAAAAGATATACTTTTTATTGCTGACATTTTTGTAATATTTATAGAAATAATTGAGTGAAATCATCGTAAGAGTAAACTATAATCTCATTGATCAGTTGGCTGGTTAATCGATCCTTGCAATTTGTCCAGTGCAAAATGCGTTATACTACTTTTTCATTGTCTTCGCACCTCTGTTTATTACCTGTATAAGGACAGCTCTGTCTGAAGGACATCACCACTGTGGACATATTATATTACAGCACTCACACATGATGCAACTAAATATCCTGTATACACAAACACTTTTCCAGTAACGTTTCAAGGGAAAGAATGATACAGGCCTGGTACAGAACACAAGTGCATAAGAATGAGACTATCAAGATTATATGAATAAGCATTTTGATGCACTCTTACAAGTATTTATGTCTTCCATTGCGCTAACATGCACAGTGCAGCTGCTGTATGCACACGTTTAATTTGCTTTCACATGTTTAGCTGCTTTTCGTACATACTTCCTTGCACTAACCTTAAGTGCCTTAGGTTGACTTAAGGTACAATCTGAGTTTTTGCAATGTAGTGCTTTTGTCTGTTTCATTTTGGCCATAATGACTCTCAAAGGCTGCATAGCAAAATGATCAAGCAACATGCAAATTTCACGCACTTATATTTGTAAGGAAAACCTTTGTCTTCCCTTCTTTCACTGTATCTCTTTCCAATGCTTTGTCTTATTTTTTGAAGGATCTATACTGAGAAATATCACAGAAAACAATAAAGGAATGCAGAGTGTAACCTGTGCAGATCTTTTTATTTATGTTGCATTTAAAACACTTTTTAGAATGTAAAAGTGCTGGGTATTTGTTATGAACGATTTCAATTATTCTGATAGCTTTTTCAGAAATGTAACAATATTTTGGAAGAGACAGAGTTGATCAGTTGATCAGAAACCCATTTTAAACCAGTTTTCAAACTTTAAATGCTGAGGACCCCGAAATATGATGATACCCTTAAGAGGGATCACCTAACTACAAATAGTAAGCATGACATACAGCACCTCCCCCCGGTTTCCCAGACGAGGCTTAAGACTAGTCCCAGACTAAAATGCATGTTTAAAATGTTTAAACTGAAAGCAACTTACACTGATATATCTTAAAATATGTATATGTGCCATAGTTTTTTCTCTTCTAAGACACGTTTATAAAAGCTACCTAAATGTCCTAATTTAACTAAAGCCTAATCCTGGCTTAATTTAAGACCTGTCTGTGAAACCAGGCCCTTGTTTCCAAAATTAAATAATTGGGTTTTATTTTATGTCCTTGTTCTGAAGCAAAAACAAGTTGTTAAAATATTATCTGGAAAATATTTATATTATGAAAATAATAGATTTATATTTATAGCACTTTTCATAATATAATGTCAAATCAACTTTGCAGAAAATAGTGCAGGGCCATAACCACCAGTGTCACTAAGGAGGTCATTTCACATAATTTAGTGGTTGATAAAAAAAAATCCAAAAAATTAAGCATATTTTTTTTTATCTTACTGTTTAAATACATTGTGTGAGACGAATGAGAATTTAGGAGATTAAATATGTGTGCAGTGAAAAAATAATCTAATATAACCTAATATGACGCAAATAACCTTAAGTTACCACCAATAAATAACTGTAATCTGTGCATGATATTGTCAGTAAATCGTATGCATTTATTTTATAATAAATTATTTAAATCAGTTCCAGACATACACAGAAAATTCTTATGTTATTACATTTAGGCATATTAATATATTTTAATGTTTTAAATTAATGCTTTATCCACTATATTTTAGCAATGTGTCTTTACTTCACACTGGTGACGTTTGTCTATAACTGGTGAGAAACGAAACATCGTTGCTTCTTTTTGGGCTTAAATTAGGTTGAATTAGAATTTTTACAGTAACAGGGTTGCTGCACACTTTTTAAAGTCAAATTTAAGGCTTTTTAACACCTGAAGAAATCAAAATTAATACCTTACATTAGGAGTGTGCAATATTGACAAAAATATATCTCTATATCTTCAAAGTTTTGTTGATAATTAGATGATATTTTACTGATTGTGTTTTTGTACTGGTACCATGGCTGGTTTAGGCCTGTTGTTGACAGCAGACTCACGAAGATATTCATATTTTTGATATCCTATGCGGTGGTCAGTTCACAGCAGTGACAGAAATTAACATTTTTATTAAGGGGCAATATTTGCAACCTTAAATTGATTTCCAGGGGCATTTTCACCTGGACATTTTTTTCAAAACTTATTTAGAGGTATGCATCACCTTTTATGTTAATTTCTTACATTCAAATTAAATTATATTAGAATAATAACACAGTACCACTGTTACCAGTCAAATGAAATCATTCAATTAAAATCCATCTTTGCAGTGCAGAGGTGACACAGAACTAGCCTTCGTCATACTCATATTCTAGTCAGACCCGACCAAAAAATGTTGTGGGCGGGGTTTGGGCTGGCATCCAGGCTAACACAGAACGGCACTATTGCTCATCATGTGATATTCTATAACATTATGATATAAATATAAGACAAAAACTAATTTGGGGACATGTTACAATTGCACTGATCACGCAGTGAAAGCAAAGCACGAGAGACAAATGCGATGTCAGCTCGCATGCCTCGTACTAGTTAAAACAATGATTACAATATCACCATAGACAATACATATCGCACACTTCTATAAGTTTTAATTTGGAAAGCATTTAGATACGTCTAAGTCAACGTGTCATCTAAAATGTAAGACCTTTCATAAGTAAAAAAAATAAGACTTTTTATGGCCTTGCATTTTAAAAATCTAATTTAGGCTAAGACTTTTTAAGGATCCGCGGGAACCTTTGTGTAAACATGAACAGACATTTGAGGCAGAAACTCAGACTACTACACTGGCAGAACCCTGTGGAAACTAGGCACCTTTTCAAAAGTTCTCTGAACTTACAAAATGGAGCCCGTAAGTTCTTGCCAGAACTCTAAAGACTCCTTTATTAACACAATCTCGAGAGAAAGAAAAGCTTGACCAATGTGTGTGTGTGTATTTGTGCACAATAAAATAAGCACCTTTAAAGGGCGTGGCGACCTCAAATGTATGTAGCTATCTTTTCATTGTAATGCTCCCAACTTTAGTTAGGTTACATGAATTTGTCCAGGTTACACAAACTCTATCTTGTTAATTTCTTAAACAACAAATTGTAGCTACACAAGTTTCAGCTGGTCATAATGGGGAGGTCGTGGTTTATTATAATGACACAGCGTGATAGCCTATATGGGCGTGCATCCGCCCTTAGGGCTACTTAACCTCACCGTCTCACTCTGTCTTCATCAAGTGATCATTGAGGGAGTTGCCTCGATAACGGACCAACAGCTCCAGCATCCGAAAGCAGAAAAGATAAGGTAAGAACCGCAACAAACTCATCTGCACCCCGCTAAAGACGCCACTAGAAACGTAACTTGCGCGTGTCTGGTCCCCATTACTCCTCAAAGCCACCCAGACAAAAAATGGGACTGGATGGGCTACCTTGAATTCTGTGTATGCCTCGTTAAAGTGCAATTAAGTTTGGGGAAAAAACACCAATCGCATTAAATGGCAGGCGAAAAGCCACGTTAAAATCACATTATTACTATTATTATTAAACTAATTTTATTTCAGAAACACGAGCTGAATTCTTGCCGAAGGATGTCTTTGCGACATGCCATTTCAAAAGATTCTTCACGAGTTCAGTCTTGCATAAGATAAGAGATACCGTGCCTTGTAGAGTTCTTCAGATATATCAGTCTCTGAGTGGTTTCTGACCGATCACTGTGTGTGCAAGTTTGGCTCATGTAGTAGCCTGTATGTGTGCTTTTGTTACAATAATACTTTTTATGCTTGTTTGTATGTGCTCCAAAATGTCATGACCCCACCCATATTGATACATTTTCTGCTGGCTGTGAATTTTTATTTATTTTTTATGTTTTTTATGAACTAATTGGCAGGAACATATATCCTAGATTACCCTCATCCCCACACCCCGAGCCTCATGCACATACAAATTAAATAGCATAGGTGAACACTTAAACTCCTGAAAAGTAATTAATGCTCATGTTTTAAGCATGCTACAAATAGTATATACTGAGGTATTTAGTATTACTTTGTGTTGTGAGTGACTTGTCATGTGTTTGTTCTCCAGGTTCTTTTGTGTGCCTAATATGCAGATGTGTACTGTGGTCAGGATGATGTGCTGTACTGCGTTTGCCACTTTTTTCCTGTTAGGTAAATTGACACTTTTTCATCTCACGCTCGTATAATAGAAAAAAGAACATGTGTTGTTCCTCTTCCTTTTTTCTGTTTTATGAATTTCCTCAAGTTACACCAAAGCCATATTTGCATATTAAGTAATGTTATCTGATCCTATTAAATGCACATGACTGTCTTGTACCAGTTTCGGCTCAAACTTCGGCTAAATTGGTATTATAATTTTTCTAGGTGTTGCTTCTGGCCAGACTTCTCTTCAGATTTCATCCTGCTTGACTAAGGACCAAAACCTGCAGATGTCCTGCAAGTTCGTTCCAGCTACAGACCCCAAGCTCCTGAAGACTTGCTACTACATGACTGAGAACAAGTTGATTGGCCATAGCAACAGCAGCATCACACCAGACAGCACCTTCAAGAACCGTGCCAATGTCTCCATTTCCAATACCACATGTGAGCTGTATTTGAAAGGTTTCTCAGCTGACAAACCCACAAACTACACTTGTTTCATCAAACAGACTGCCTCACCAGTGTCAGTCGTGGCAACTGTGGACAAGAGTAAGACGTCTTACTTTTCTTAAAGAAAATAACAGTCCGTAATAATTTTAATTAAGCTGCTTTTTTATCTGCGTTGGTAAATGATTGTCAAATTAATTGCTTGGAATTGACAAGGAAGCATACGTTAGTCTTTTCTGTGTACTTTTATTTCTATGGAAATATTCCACTGAATCAATGACTGACTGAGGTTGATAATGCTGCTGGTTTTTGCTTTGTTTTTTCCAGGTAAGCTTCAGACCTGTTCTGCCTGGTGTGTTGTGCAGCACAGTGGAGCAGCACTCCTGCTAGCTTTCCTCACTTTCCCACTCTTGTCAGAGCTTCTTTGAGTGGAATGGATCTCTCTGTATGACTCCAAATTAAAAACCAAATTCTAAATCCTCTAGCTTGTACTACACCATGCAACAAAAATACCATGTTCATGTGTTTTCTCAGAAATCAGGGTGTACAGATATTGAGAGCAATTTTTTAATCGTCATATCCATTGGTTCGGTTGATGCTGATGTAAATAACACTGCTATGTGATGCATGTCCCTTAAATACAATGTAAAATCGCGTACTTTGAATCATGCTTTATGAAGTTGTCAAGTGAACCCACTGTTTGGCATGAGTAAATTCTAAAATAAAATTTGTACTCTGATTGGAAACATGTTATGTGTGGTGAAAGTTTGTTTTAGCACTTTTTTTTTTGTGTGACTAGCCTTACAAACATGCCCTAATAAACTTAGTTTATTTAATTTTTTTTATTATGCAGTAAAAACAAACAAATTAGGACAATAACAAACTAGACCCAATACAAAGGGTTACATTACATAAACTTACGTAACATTTAAACTAGCTTAAAAGATTGACACCATTTCAGAGTCTTACATGCAGTGGAGTTTTTAGAGTTCTTCAAAGAACTTCGATACATATCAAAATCTTTCTTAAGAATTAAAAAAAGGAGTTTTCTTTGATAATGTACACTTGTGAACATAACATTTGGCAAGAAAAAGTAGCAAGTTAAGGACAAATTTAAAATGAAATTTAACAAAATTTGAGAAGTCAACCCAAAAGATTTTGCAATACACACATTCCCAAAACAAATGAATAATTCTCATCAAACTACCTTAATAAACTTAGTTCAGCACGCAAGTAAAATGATGACGCTGTGTATGGCGCCCTCTAGTGACTAAGAGTTAAATAAAAACACTGCTGCACATGCGCAGAGAGGGTATGTTTCTTGAACGTTTGCTTCTCGGGATAAACGGGTAACTATTAAATGTTACTAAGGAATAATATATATTTGTGAAACGATAATATGGTTTATTAGTCATGTGTTCTGAATCATTCTGAAACTCTTTTGTGGGATGTTTTTCACGCTTCTTTGTTTGCTTAGCTCAAATGCTAAATGCTGCTTTTTGTCAGTTTTTGTTTTGTTTTTTGTTGGCCAAATTAGTCGTAATTTTAGTGGTGTTTATATAAATAATATAACATTCATGAGTTACAAAAAAGAGCTGGTGGACAACGTGCCGGTTATCAGTTAGCAAAGTGAGCTTTTTATGGCTTTCCGGGCGGTTTTTCAACAGATTAGTGTGGTGGGACTTTTAACGCAGCGGCGTAAAAAAATCATAACATGCCGGCGCCACACCTGCTTTTTGAACATTTCTAAGAGCAGGATCTAACGTTACTCGAGTGCATTAGTGCAAAGTCGATGTATTAAATGTGCTCTTTTCTATTCCTGTTGTTACTATATGTTGTGATTTTACAGTGGATGTTTACGTTTGAGGACCACAAAACCCAGATCACGATTCACTCACAAATATGAGGCGAGTTTCATCATCAGTGTCTTTGAGTCACATTTTATTCTCATTACATTTCTGAAATCGACTCTCCTGTAAAGCACAGTACACTGTTTTTTTTTTTACGTTGACATTGCATACCCTGAAAAAACAGTACAGACCATTAGTGTGATTATTGCATTTATGTTTTGAACACAACTTTTTTTAGTGTTGTAATATTAGCATTTATATCTAAAATATATCTTTTGTTTCCTTTTTTTAGAGAACAGAAAAGTCATGATCCTGAAGATTCTCCCATGCTGCAGGACGGTGAGATGTTTGAATTGAACTGTCCCACAAGTTCCTTTGTCAATTTAGTTCGTAGTGTGTCTACATAAATTAACAGCATAATAAAATGCTTGGTAACAGCCAGTGTTTATTTTCAGTTTAGTTGTGACAGCTTGCAGCCTTTATAGCACCATATAGTGCTAAATAAAGTCCCCACAGTACATGTATCTGCAATTCAAGAAACAAACTTCACATTTTCTCTAACAAGACTGAAAACCCCCGGTATCTGACCTCTCAACTGCAAAGACAACAACAAAAACATGTTGGAATTGACACACTAAATTTATTTCCAGTTGTTTTAGGAGTTGTTGGACCAAACAGAGAGGGTCACCAAACAATAACCTCTATGTGCTGCTTTCCCAGGTGTTGATGAAACGGTGGATGACCCACTGACTATCACAACCATCCAGCCAGCTACCGCATTTTCCACAGATCAGCAAATTAAGTATCATCTTTTCAAAACGGAAGGAACAGGGGGTCAGGTAAGTGGCATATGTATGCATAGTAAATATAGAAACTGAGACGTGATGATTAACCCCTTGACCTCCCTGGTTCAGGTAACCTACCGGGTAATCCACTTGGCTGATGGGCAGGTAGAAGGACAGGCGGATGGAGCTGCTGCAGTCAGTGTGGTGACTGGGTTTCCAACCGCAACACAGGCAGCAATACCACCTGTAACCCAGGTATTACTTTTTTTTAACGGGTATATAAATTTGAGTTTGTTGCTGAAAACAAACATATATATCTATGCATGTAAGAGAGGTAGTTGTGCTAAGCCGTTTTTCCACCATCGGGCCAAACCGATTCTCTTTGCTTAACCATTCCATTCTGTGCTGATCCGGTCTAGCCAGTGTGGATATGGTTTCATTTTCCACTGTGGGGCTGATAATGGAGCTCTTTGGAATGTAATAGAAATGTGTAAGTCATTGCGCAAGAGTTTACAGACGATATTAGATGTACATGGCGACCGCATTATGGAGGATGTTTAGATATTTCTTTTAATTTTATTATTAATTTGTTTATGCCACTCGAATAGCGTGCTAATAGCCAGCTACAAAGAAACTGATAGCCAGGCAACAGACAAGTGACCAATCCTGAGTTGCAACGTCACTTACACGCATTCTACCAGCCCGATCAGCGCTGTTCCTTAAAGGTGCATTGCGCAACATTTCATGTTAAAATCCCTGTTTTTCTAACCCATACATGCTTAAACAATTGCCTGATGGGCTGAATGAGCCCTTCTCTGATCACTGCGATTGCATATATAATCCTGTACAGTAAAATAAATAAGAGGGATTCGGGCCGGAACGTGAGACTGGGCGTGACGTCATGCGCGTTCACGCTCCTTTCTTGGCTGTGTCTGGCAGGTTTGTGTATTCGCCGCGATTCTTCGTATCAGCGAAGACAACTCGAGCGACAAAAGTAGAAGATGGATTCAAAGAACCGGCTTGTAGTTCATAAACCCCAACGCAAACTCCACGTAAGACAAAGACAGTAAGGCAGTTTCGCTTTTCGCCAGAGGGGGGCATAGTTCTGCAAAATCTCAGAGACTTGCGCTATGCACCTTTAACATTCTGAGATCCGTTCGGCCCAATGATGGAAAAGTGGAAGATGGAAAAGCGGCTTTAGTAAGTGCTTGTGTGCATGTGGTTATAGGCTGTAATCTCTCAGTCTGAGAGTCTAGAGGGGGAGACGTCTGAAACTCAATACTACTATCCTGCCACCATCTCTGACACATCTGCTGGTACCATGGTAACCAATCTCCACACAGCTGATTCGGTACTATCTCAGCCCACCCCTACAGGTAATGCCAAACTCCATTTATACTACCGTTCAAAACTTTGGTGACTTTTTTTTTTGTTGTTGTTGAAAGAAATGCATGCTTTTATTCAGCAAGGATGCGTTAAATTGATCAGTGACAGTAAAGACATTTGTATTGTTACAAAATATTTCTTTCAAATAAATGCTTTTCTTTTTAACTTTCTATTAAAATAATCCAAAGTATTATGCAGCATATGTTTTGTTTTAACACTGATTAAAAAATAAGAATGGTTTCTTGATCAGCAAATCAGCATATGTGACCCTGGACCACAAAACCAGTCACATGGGTCAGTTTTTTTAAATTGAGATTTATACATCATCTGAAAGCTGAATAAATAAGCTTTCCATTGATTTGTGGTTTATTAGGATAGGGCAATATTTAGCCGAGATACAACTATTTGAATCTAAGGGTGCAAAAAAATCGAAACATTGAGAAAATTGGCTTTAAAATTGTCCATTTATGTTCGCGATTGTGCTGCATTCACTCACAAAAATAAATGTTTTATATATTTACGGCAGGAAATTTACAAAACATATTCATGGAATATGATCTTTTCTTAATATCCTAATAATTTTTGGCATAAAAGAAAAATAGATAATTTTGACCCATACAATGTATTGTTGGCTATTGCCACAAATATACCCGTGCTACTTGTGACTGGTTTTGTGATCCAGGGTCACATATTAGGATTTCTGAAGGATCATGTGAGACTGGAGTAATGATGCTGAAAATTCAGCTTTGCCAAATCAGAAATAAATGTAATTTTTAAATAGTTCAAAATATTTAAAATTGTAATAATATTTCTAAATATTACTGTTTTAACTGTATTTCTTTGATAAATACTTCTTTCAAAAACATCTTAAATAAATCTTACCAACCCAAAACTTTTGAATGGGAGCGTATAAAATGTTATTTGGTTGCAGAAAAATATATGGATTTTCTACATTATATACAGCTAAAAGTTGAAAGTTACCAACTTTTAATTATATTGTATGTCTTATGATGCAAAATATCATCAATATATAGATTCAATTACCTTTCTTCCTTTTCTTGCAGGTCAACTCTATGTAATGATGTCACCTCAGGATGTTCTAGCCACAACACAGCAGAGGTTGTCATCTCTTATCACATAGCCTACATAAAACCACATGTCCAATCACTGTAATCTTTTTCTTTTCAACTTCTTCAACCAATCCTATATCCTCCTTTACAGTAAGTCGGGAACACAGCGCGTTTCCAGGGATGACAAACGGAGGGCTCAACACAATGAAGGTTATTCTGTTTCATTTGAAATCAGCAGCTCCACCTCATAATCCATTCCCTGAATGATCCATCTTAATGTAAGCTTTCGTTTTCTGCCCTCAGTGGAACGCAGACGGAGGGACAAGATCAACAATTGGA